TCTCCTTATATCCTGCTCCCTTTTTCAACTCTATAATTGAAGAATTAATAATTAAATAGAAGATTTGAATTTTTCTTAAGAAATTTAATAATTTTAGTCAATTTAATTTAAATTATTTAAAAACTATTACAATAATTATAGTTGTTTAAACTCTTTTAAATTTAAAATTTAAATTAGAAAAAAAATTAATTTAATCACAATTATTAAATAATTTATCTAAAAGTTCTTGAACTTTAAAATTGTATAATTATAATGTGGGAAAACTAACTCAATAAGCTTACTGGGTCACTTTTACATGTGCATGTATAGTTGAAGTATATCTAAAATATTTAATAAAACAAGTGTATATCAATTAACCTATATATGTATATTACATCTAGAATTATTTGAATAATTACATAACAACTGTGAGAAAATCAAAACTAATTAATTTTAAATTATTTACTGCAATTTTTCTATTCATAAATATCTTAATAGAATATTAGATCTATAAATGATAATATTCTATTATAATCTTACCCTTTTAAGTCGTAAACGTAAGCGATGAATTGTTAAATTAGTCATTAAATTTAAATATGTATTTTCTAAGTAAAAATTTATTATTAAAAATAATTGTGACTAAAATGTAAATAATTTTGAACTTTCAATATATTTCATTTAGCATTTAAAAGTAAGTATGTAATTAAATTGTTTAATTATTTTCCCATAGAATACAATTAATTAGAAAATTAAATTCTTTTTAAATGTTTCAATTTTATTATGCAAAGTGAGGTTAACTTACTGATTTGTTCGAAAGCTTTTCTTATAATATAGAATGATTTGTGTATTACACGGTGATAGTAAATTAATTTATAAATATAAATGTTACTATTATTTACATACATATATAGTTAAAATAATGACGCTTTATAACATGAGGCGGCTGGGATTATTCAAATTATTATTATTTTTAATATTTATTTTCTCAAAGATCTTTTCTCGTATAGAGTAATAAAGTCACGATCTTTTTATTTTCTTCTTATTTAGTATAGTATAATAAAATTTTTCCGAAGGTGTTCGAAAATTGTTTCACAACAATAATGGTGAACAAATTAAGTCATTTTTATTTATTTTATATATATACATACATACAAAACCTATAGAGGTACGAGTGTAATATGCACGTACATAATACTTAAGGTTTTGTATTTGCTTTCAAATTGAAGGTAAAAGGTGTGACCATATATTATTATCATTATATCACATAGATGTAATAAAAATTTAAAAAGAAAAAATTTTGAATATTACAGGTGAAAATTATTAAAGAAAAACAAAAAAAAAAAATAAATACAATATGTGCAAGTAAAATTAAAAAGACAAATTTTTAAAAGATGTAAAAAGAAAAAAAAATATGAAAACAGTCAAGTTCACTGTCGCTTATTATTTTTAATTTTCTTCCTATTGTAATATAACATTGTATATAGATGCATTGTTTCGGAAGTTGATAATTTCTTAGTAGCTTGTTCATGATATTACGTACTAGAGGTTGGAGTTGAAAAAATTTCTTATGTATCAAACTTCTTAGTCTATGAATAAAAATTATTGTAGAAAATATTTTATTTATTATAAAGTTGAATTAGTGTATTTAAAGTTATCGATCTTGAAATTCAAAAGGTGTGCCAAGTTTATACAACTTATGCGTCCTATTTGTAAAAAACAAGAATTCACTCTAAATTTTTTTCATTTTCCGCATTCAAAGAATGCCTTTAGTTATAAAAGATAAAACCTTATTATGAACAGAATACTAATGAACAGTACCTAAAATGAACAGTATACTAAAGTTTGACATGAGTTTTAAGAAATTGTAAAATATCTGTAATATTTCGATATATTGCGATATAAAAATATTTCGATTATGATTAAATATTTTTGTTTAAATTTTAATATTATTTAAATGCTTTCATATCTTTCGATTCTTTTAAACTTTTAGCACTCATTATTATTTTCCATTTAAAATAAGGTATTTCAATCACATATGTTACAAACGCACTATATACCTACATAATTCCCATCTTTCATATTCGAAATTATGAAATTTTAAAATATATTTTTTTAGTAAAAGTTTAGTATTATTTTTTAAGTTTCAACAATTAATAAAAGAAAAGTATATTTAATGGTTAAATACAAAACAATCAACACAAAAGAATTTTTAAAATGTAATAAAAAAATTGTCATTTTTAGGTTTTTTTAATTATATTTTTTTGTGTTGCGATATTCGGCTTAAATATGTAAGTAAGCATATATTGAACAGAATATTAAAAATTTTATGCCTAATATGATGACATCAACATAAAACGATAATGTTGCCATATCACGTAGCAATTCGCCATTTAAAAACCCTTATATTATAATTTTATAAAAGACCCAATATCATTAAACAGACGTATACAAAATGGAAAAACAAGATTACTTTGGGGCCGAAATTTATTTAATAGAAATTGTAAGATATATAATTAAAGTTTCAAATATTTAACTTTGATATTACTGTGTTTTGTACAGCGCCTGTTTAGAGCAAAACTATCCTAAATTCATTTCTCTTAAATGCGAGCAAATTTCAAATGCAAACTAAATTCCAGAGTGTATACTTTGTTGATGCACTTGGACTTAAAAATCATTTTTGCGAAATAATTCTATGTAATTAATTTACTCTACAGAATAATTTGCAAATTGTGACTTAAGATAGTTTAAGTAGGCGACATGTTGTCGATTATTAAACATAAATTATTGCATAAATCGAATTTTAATTCTACATCAGGCTTTAAGCACAAAAGTGTTTATGACTTCTAGTCTTTTTTCTATTATATGTTTTATTTTTTATTTTACACAAACCAAATTAAATTAAAACTAATAATTTAAAAAAAAATTGGACTCCTAAGAAATTCTCATGAGTTCTGTGAACTTTCATTATTATAATACGTAATAATTTTAAGATTATCCAAATTTTTGTCTTGTTTGTTTTAAAATCATTTTAAAAATAATTAAAAGAACAAACTATATAATTTTAGTTTAAGAGGTAATTAAAGTGTTTTGATAAAGCTTTGTCTTAAAATTTAAAATGTCATTTAAAAAAGAATTATCAAAAAAAAAGTTTTCAGAACAATTGTTTTATGTAAAAGGTGAAGTCGTATATTATTTGTAGGTATACATTATTTTATTATTGTCATTTGAATTTTTTTTTGTTTTTCCCTAACATAACAAAAAACTATTGTTTAAAAATATGAGTATTTTGACTTTTTATTCTGGCAATTAGTTATTAAGTACAAAGTCTTTGATTTTGCTTTTTTAAGAAGATTCATGATTAGAACCGGAAATTCTTTTATTTTAAAATTTTTTTTGTACATATTAGTAGTTTTTAATAAAATTTATTGTGACACATTTTTTTTTCAAATATTTTTGTATTTTAAAATTTTTAAAATTTCAAAATATTGTTTTATTCGTACCCGTGTAAACACAAGTTAGAGATTTTAAAGCCTACTCCGCAACTAGTTTAAAATCGATATAATTATTGTGATAAAGTATTCGATTTTAAATTAGATCATTTATCTCTTATACTCTAAAATTGATCCTAACTTTTTATTTAGAAAATTCTTTATATTCCTCATAAATTATTCAATATGCATACCTACTCCTTTTTATTTTGCTTTTAGATAATTATTGGTAAATAAAATTTGAATAAAATTCAACGTAATTTAAAATAAACATTAGTTATTTGTGTTGAAAATTAAATTTAAAAATTCATTTGAAAAAACTAGAATAATAATTTAACCAGCATTTCAATTTTTATCTTAAATTAATTTAAATATTGTATAATATTAGTATGTATGCACATAAAACATAAGAAAAGGAAATATTAATTCTAGTCACGTGAATGGTTTTTACCAAAAGATAAAACTTCACAACAACAAACTAATTATATTGAGCTTCAGACGATTAAATCATATCAAGTTAAAGCTTAAGCTTCCTGTGACAAAGTAATAAACCTAAATTTTTTTAGTGTTTTTGTTTTTATTTTATGTATATTACTTAAAGGTCAAATTTTTTACTTTTTTGTCTTAAAATATAGGTAATGTTGATGATTTGGAAAAGAAAAACAAAAACTTTTGAAATTTCCATAAAATATAATAGTTAAAAATATTTAACTATTCATTGTATATTTTTTATATAATGTTTTCATTGATTGCATCCACCATATTTTTTTTATCTTAGAAAATACGTGTTAACTTGTCACCGTGTTTTTTATTTTCTTGTAAGTTTAATAAAGACTAAATGTTAAAAATAATTAAAATATACAAAGAAAATGAATTTATCATATCTTTATTAGTAGATATAGATAAATGTAGTAATTCATGCAATAATTCGCCAGTTGTGTCATCAGTAAACAAACCTAAAATATTTTTTAAAAATTGTATTTAATATTCTGAAAGCATTTGATTGGTACTAAATACATTTTTTTATAAGTTTTAAAATAAAATAATATGATGGTAATTGTTATGTTTTGCAATAATATGCATATTAGATTTAGTCGATTTTAGGAGGATTAGACACATTTTATAGTGTACATTGTCACATCTTGTAAAACTACACTTTGTATGTGCATTTAGTTTTTCGATAGTAAATTGATACTTTTGAAATAATCGATTGCATATTTCTTATTGTAACACAGTATTTTGGTGTTTTGATATAAAATTTCAATTATTTTCTGTACGCACTTGTAACAAATTTATTAATTCATTTTGCTAGGCTGTTGACCAATAACATTTTTGTTAACGGTTAAAAAATACTCAAATACAGCTGAAAAAAAAAATAAAGTAAAATAAACACTAGATGTCGCATCATTCGTATTCAATACTGCCAACTATATAATTAATATCGAATTATAAAATCGATTATTATAGTCACAAGTATATAATTCGTTTTGACATATGAATTTTAAGTAAAATTCTTTTGATTTATCAAAACATTCCGAAGTTTTGATTTAACATTTTTTTTTTTTACAAAAATTGTATTCTAAAATTTAAAATGTACTTTAAGATTTTATGTAATTTAAGTGTAACATTATTGAAAATAAAACCATAAACAAGTTTTAATAATAAAAAGTAAAGAAATGAGTACAAAAATTACTTTGGAAATAGAAAATTGTGTGCGTAATAACATTCCGTGGCCTGTATTGCCTCAATCAATAAAATCAGTAAGTTCTAATATGTCTTATCTATAGTTAAACATTAAAAATCTTTATCAATTGATGTAAAACGGAGATAAAAAGGTTAAATTAGTATTTGATGAGCATTACGAAATACTTTCTTAGATGAATTGAAAATTTAATACGTGTACTTATCTACTCATACATTATTTGCATATAAGCTAATAATTTTCAATCCTTGTTCTTAATAACACTAAACATAATTATGAATTTTAGTTGTGTGGTTTCTATGCTAATATATTTTTTTTGAAAGGTTTCATTTGGGTGAATAAAAATTTATAGTTTGTAGGCGCAAGAACTACCTTTCTTATTTATGTTAAAAATTAAATCTTATTATGAATGTACATATACTTATATGTATGTATTATATTAGCTACATTTTGTACCTACTTACCTATCTACTATCTATCGTTTACCTTAATGAATATGAAGAGAATTAGAGTTACAATAACATACAATTATTTTATACTTTAATGTGGGCGAGCAAATATGTTATTAGAAAAATTTTACTTTATATTTGTAGGCTTTAAGAGGAAATCAAAAAGATTACGACCGATATGTTTTCAGTTACAGTTTAAAGAATCAATTACGTTATCGAGGAAATTTAGGTAAGTATTTAGAATATAAAAATATTTACAATGAATTTGAATATAAATAAAATTTTTTATTTATCAAATATAGTGAGGAAAATATGTCGAAATGAGCAACGATACTATGAACTTTTGGTTGAAAAAAGTATTAGCAATCTGAACTTGTTCCCTTATCATTTAGCAGATATTGTAACTAAAGGCCTTAGAGTGACACCATTCAATTATTATTTGGATGTTATTTGTAATCTTTTAAAAAGTGATAAAAGTTATGATACACTACCTAATTTTACTGCAGCAGATTGTAATTTTACTCTCTATATTCATTTTTATGAATTTTAATTTTTATGAATTTTTTTTCAGGTTTAAGAGTTCTCGGCATTGGTCGTAATGAATATTTGGCATTAATTTCCGAATTGAAAAACAACACTTCAAAAATATTTAGAAAACCTAATCCAATGCAATTCTTGCCGAAATTTCCTCAGAGAATATGTATTGAAGAATGGTGGAAAGTGGAAGTTGGCTATGTACTTGAAACTGATATAAAGGTAAAATAATCGAATTTTTAGGCAATTTTTATTTTCAAAATTGTGCGTTTCAGTATGTGAATGATATGGAACGAAGTTTGATTGATGATTTAATTGATTTTGGATCACAAACAGCTGGAAAATGTGATTATAATATAATTCATAGTTTATATAGAAAAGGTTTAATATACTTAGATGTACCAATAAGTGGTGAAGACAAAATATGTATTCCTCCATTGAAAAATTTTGTTATGAATCGCATTAGTGGAGATTATTTTGAAAATTTGCTTTATAAAGTATTTGTAAGTGCTGATGAGCATATGACGATGTCTGAACTTGCTAACATGTTGTTGATTGATTTGGACGTTGTTAAACAAGCTGTTTCATTATTTTGTCGATTAGGATTTGCAAAGAAAAAACCAATTCCTGATGAATTACCAATGTCTTTGCATGCTAGCTGGTTAAATAAAGAAGTTTTAGAAAAAACAACTAATCGGCCTCAAGTAACTCCATTAAACTATCATTCTTTGGTAAATGAGAATGAAAATGGAACTAGTTCAAGTGCACAAGAACCAAACAACAGTAAAAATAATAGTCCTAGATCTGTGCAAAATTCAATACCACAACAAAGTTCTAAAACAGAAAAGGAAAACAATTCAATTGAGTATATTTCTTCTGATGGAAATATTAGCGATTTCAGCTTCACAAATATCCATGCACAATCGATAGAATCCTTAAAAAGTATAACGGCTAAGAGAGATAATTCTGAAAATGATATAAGTTCAGAAATTGAAGATTTAAGTGAAAGTAACACAAATACAAATAAAATTATTAAGACTTTAGAAGTTTTAACACCAAAAACTGGAAAAAGAGTGGCTTTTCTGTTTGATTCTACATTAACTGCTTTTTTGATGATGGGTAATTTATCGCCTGGTTTGAAAAATCATGCAGTGACTATGTTTGAAGTTGGTAAACTATGTGATGAAAGTATAGATACTTTTTTAACAGAATTAGAAAAAGTGTCTTTGTTGGATGCTGAGGGAGAAGGTGAAGTTAGCAGATATTTTGCACATGCAGTAAGTTGATGCTTCTTTTTATAAAATTTGTTTCATTTAAAGATTTTGTTTTAAGGTTATTCTTAGGTCGACCATTATAGCACTTCGTAACATATTAAATGGTGGCTTAGATTTATTGCGATTGGAATGTTTGGAAAGTTTAGATTGCGAAACACGAAATCGCTTGCTGGAAAAGAAGTACAAGTAAGTATTATTATGATGTTTATAATACAAGAATTGTTATAAGATGTGTTTTTATTAGATTTATCATATCAGCATCACCTCTCAGTGGAGCTATAACTCATCAATTTAGAATTCCATTCTTCGGTCAATTTTATAAAAGCTCAAATAATTCGCATATTTGGTCTAAATTATTTTATTATCACATATCTGGTTATGGCCCTCCAAGTTTGCTCTTATTAAAAGGAACTCACTTAAAGGCTTTACCTCGTCCATTTTTGGGCTATGGTAAACTCTTAGTAACACTCCTTCATACTGAACCATATGTTATTTGTTCAGAAAACTTTCGGAGCCTAAATGAACAATTAAAAAATGGCTGTATTTTAGTTCAAGGCTATGGTATTCGTCAACCTGCTGATATTCGGTATGAAGCATTCCCCTTCGATAAAAATGACATTGGAAAGAAGGAGTGGGCTAATCATAAAGCTGTGTTAAAATTGAAAGAACATCTAGACTTAGAAAACACTTGTGGTTATATAACATTTGTAAATACTGGTGTTCCTGATATCGGATGTGAAAATTATGAAGTTGATGTAAAACTTGAGCGCCCACAAAAAGCAAAAAAGAAAAGTGTTCCAGGTGCTGTATTTGTTAATAGCGATTCAAAAGAAAATAACGATGGCAAAAGTAATTGCAATAAAGAATATGAAATATCTAATAACCTTTTAACACCGATTACACCGACTACTTCAGACTTAATGTCACCTTTAGACTCTGAAGTGACTAGCTTTAATCGAACTATTAAAATGAAAGCTGATAATTTAAAAACCCCAGACGAAGATTATTTCGCCGTTACACCAAAAAATAATTCACCTTCAAATGTCTATCGAAGTGATGATTGTAATGAATTGTTAGCAAAAGAATTAGCTGAATTAAATGAAGTTGAAAATAATTGCGAGAGTAGAACAAAAGAATTAGTATCACAAAGTTCAGTTGAAATTCCTTTAAAATACGATTTTAATAATTCAATAATTGATAAAAATGATTTTGAAAAAATAGAGGATTTAGGCGAACCATGGACTTTATTAGATGTAAATTTTGGTGTTCCTCTATTTGATGTTGATTGTAATACAAGAATTTGTGAATATCTTGTACGTAATCTCTGTACTGATGAGAAGTAAGTATTTTATTTTTTCATATTTTTAAATTTTGATATGCTCTTATTAAAATTTATTTATTGTTTTTTGTTAGTTTATCGCAGCTATCTTCAATAAATTCACAAATGAATGAAAAATTTCTTAGATTTGTCAAACAATGCTTGGTAAGACAATCAAATATAAAAATACTTTTTTTTTCAAATAAATTCTGCAAAATTATTAATATATTTTTCTTATAGTATTTTACTGATGAAAATATGGAAATTATTAAAATGGGAAAATTATTACCACCACCACGTATCAATTTGGTATTTGAAAATGGTAAAGTTTGTTACTGGAATGGAAAATAACAGCTTCCTTCGAAAAACCGAGAACAAAACTGTTAACTAGCATATTTAAAAAAACGAATATTAAATTATTTTTTAATGAATTCATCATAATATTACTAACAGCTAATTCTAGATTACAAGAAAATTGCCAAAAATAAAATGTAAAATTTAAAAAATAAGTTTTTAATTACATAAAATTAGAATTGATAAAGAAAAGAAAAAAACAATATTCATAAAATGAAATTTTACAATCAGCACGGTAAATATCGGTAGAACTTGCTTTATTTTTGTTTCAAAAATGGAAAGCAAAAAAAGATATTTTAGATTTTTTATCTCAATCTATTTTTTTTTTCTAAGTTGAATCTTAAAATAATAGAATTAGATTCAACTAATAATAAATCAAAATGTGAAAAAAATCATTTAAAAATTTTTTAGTATAATAGATAAATTAATATGAAAAAAAAAAATTAATACGTACCTAATAATATTATTATACAATATTTATGAAAATATCACAAAATTAGTGCTAAGTTATTCAAAATATGAAAAAAAAAGAATAAAAATAAGAGAGAAAAGTACAAGTTTCATAAAATAATTTCAGTTTTTAATTTCTTTGCTTGTTCTTTAATTTAATGCCTATTTGGAAGCCTATATTAGAAGCATTTATACTAGATTAATTCGATCTGAAGACTTGTACTTCTTTCTATAAAATCAATCAATCAATCAAAATATCAATCATTTATTATATTGTTTTCGAATAATTGTATTAAAAAAACTTTTTTTTTAAGCTGAATACTTAGAGACAATACTAATTTTCCAATTTTTTTTGTTTTGTGTTTTTATTTTTAATCTACTTGTAATTTTATATTAAAATTTTATTTCCGTTTTTGAGCACGTGTCATATATAATTACTTATATAATATTATATAATATAAAATAAATATATGTACATTATTCGCTTTTTACAAACAAAAAAAAAAAAAAATAAAAATAAAGAAAAAATAATTAGTAAAAAAAAAATAATAAAATTAAACTTGTTAAGAAAAGGAAATTGACTTAATTTGCGTAGATTTAGATTTTGTTATTATTGCTTCTTAATTAATAATAAACGTCCATGTAAATAATAATAATAATAATAATAATTAAAAGAAAACAAAAATGTATTATGTATTATAGAAGAAAAATCCATTTTAGTCAATCAAGGAAGCGGAAGGCTTTGTTACAAAACAAAAAAAGAAGAAAAATAAAATAAACATTCTTTACAGTGTTGTTTTATTTAAATAATTTTTTTTTTTATTTAGTTTTATTTGTTTGTTTTTTAATTTTTAATTCTATGCTTTATATAATATCGTAATAGAAAATAAAAAGAACAATATTGTGTTTTTTTAATGAAATTTTTTTTTATTAAATTTTGTTTTTTTTTTGTCTGTTTCTTAAATATTATAGATTAAAATTTTTAATAACGTAATTAATCTACTAAAAAAAAAATTTTTGTTTTTTGTTCATATTTTTAAATTATAATATGTTTCATATTATTTGTATTCTATTGAATTTTTTTTTATATATATACAATGTGAATAAAAAAAAAAAAATTTAAAGAAAATATTATTATGTATTAATAAATACGTATATAATAATGATTATATATATAATATTATTATAATTAACTTTAATTTAAATATATTAATTTAAAAACATAAAAAAAAAACAAAAAATCAATAAAATAAAACATGTGTATTAATTAGTTTACATTAAAAAATTCATTATTATAAAATAAAAGAAATAAAATATAATATATGTACATACTTATATGTGTGTGTGTATATAATAAGAAAAATATATTATATCTGTTTTATTTAATTATATATAATGCAATTATACCTAATGGAATTATTAAATTTAATAATATCGGATTAAAAATAAAATACAGGTAAATTACATAATTGAAAAATAAAATCTCTAAATTATTATGCAAAAATTGTTTTTTTTTTTTCAGAAATTAATGAAATCCAGTGTTTTTTTTTCAGATTTAATAATTAAAATGACTGAAAATATTTATATTTTTTATTTATTTTTAATACGAAATAATAAAATTATTCTGTTGGCTTAACTATTAAAATGGATGATAGTTTATTATTTCTTGTTAAGATGTTTTTAAAACATCACGGATTCTTTCATTTTAAAGATGAAAATTTAAAACCAGTACGTCGTTGGATTATGTACAATAACTTGGATGAATTGGAGCTTTAATTAATATAATATGTATAATTATTATAATTTTATACAAAACATAATTTATAATACATTTTCTAGTTTTAAATTGAATTTTTTTATTTTATAATATTATTATGATTAAAACACACACTGAGTAAAATTGGAAGTTTCAAATGAATTACATGAATAGTTTATGGAAGAATTAATTTATTTTTGTTTTTTTTTTTTTGTAATTATCTAATGGAAAAGTTTTGATTATGGTTGAGTTATTTACAAAAGTAAATTAATTTTATTTATTCTATATTAAAAATTGTAATATTATAATTTATTTAATGCTCTTATTCTTTATTATTATGTGTTTTAGGAATAAACATAGAAAACAAATTTATGATATTTAAAGATTTATGTAATATTTTAGTTGTTTTAAGGTTATTTGTATTTTATGGTCCTATTGTTTTTTTTTTTTGTTCTTAGAGTTTGTAGTGATTGTAAAACCAAATGTGCATTGCTTGTGATTTGGGGCTTTTTCGATAATTCAGTTCTAACTTAGTTCTGAATGTAAAGCACGTTCGATAAATCGAATCTGCAAAATCTGTAAAAGTAGCATGTTCGATAATGTTCTCGTGCAAAAAAAGCTCGTTCGAAAATACGATTGAGCTTTAAGTTCTTAGGCAATTTTAAAGATTTTTTTTTAATACTGCAATAAAAGTGAAAATTAGTAAAATAGAAAAATGTCGGATATTGAAGAATTAATAGGGTAAATTTATGCAATTTTTGTTTTGTACATTTAATAATTTGTTTTTCTTTCATAGAGAGCTAGAAAATGAAAAATTTTGGGATAAATGTAAATTAAAAATGTTGATACAAGCCAGACTTGATGATGAAACAAACTTACTACAAAACAATCGCGCTCCATCCTGAAATGTTCAAAAAATATGGTATCCGGCATCAAATTGATTGTTTCTAAGTAATTGGGTACCTTAGGTACAAGGTTCTTTTCGTTTTTTTTAATGTATGTTAGTAACAAATGCTTTCGTCTTCTTTTATTTTCCAGATAAAAACGTATATTACTTTTGACATATCTGATCTGTAACATATTTGCTTAGAAATTTTTTTTGTTCTTCAAACATCTTTCTTTTTTTATTTTTATAAAATTTACAATTTGCAAACAACAAAAAAAAAGTTTGTTAAAAAAAATTATAGACATTTCAGACATGCAAAGATATGTCATTCAGATTGTAGAAGTTTGTAAGTATGCGTAAAAAGCTTTTACAAACCTAAGTTAGATCTTTCAGTACAGAACTGAATTATCGAAAAAGCCCTTGCTTTTAATGTAATTTAGTGCAATTTTTTTAACAAAAATATCATCCTTTAGAAAAATTAATTTTTTTCTAAAATATATTAAAGGATAATCTTCTTTTTAATAAAGGATAATTTGATATCCTTCTTTTACAACAAAAAAAAAAAAGGTTCTGCTCAAAAATATTTGAATACGTGATATTGCCCCTTCCAATTTTTCTTTTTATTAAAAAAATAAAATTCGAAAATAACTTAATTATAAATAAAATAATTTTAAATAATTGTAAGCAGTTCATTAGTTTAACTATTTTCCTAAAACTTATTGCTTTTACTCTAAGAACAAAATTCAAAATAGTTGTTTTTTTTTTTCTTTTCGTATTTTTAAGGAAGGCACTAAAGTTGCAATTTGATAAAAAATTTTATTTTTTGTACTGTATGCAGTTTAAATTTACATAACGTGTATGTTTGCATGTGTATTATGTGTTTTATAAAATTTATTTTTTTATTAATTTAATTTAAAATTTATAATATGTGTATGATTTTATTTATTTTAAACTACATGATTTTGTATTTGGAGATAAAGAAAAAAAAACAAAACATAAAAGTTTGTTTTATTTTTTCATTAATATTTTCCTAAATTTTATAAAATTAAAATTAAAAAAAAAAAATTATTCTATAATAGAATTATGAACAATTAAGACTAAAATTTTGATTTTTTTTTTAAATTTTTTATATGTAAAAAGCTAAAATTATATTTAAAATTGTAATTATTGTTAAAATTTTCTGAAATTTATAATTCAAATTTATGAAAATAATGTAAATTAATTCAAGATATTCTCTAAAATTACTTGATTTTTTATGACTGACTATGTAAAAATTAAAAGTTAAATTATTAAATATTAACATTAAATAATTATTAAGTCTGGTGAAATAAATTTCAGAAAATTTAAACAAAATACCCTATTTTTTACATATTTTATATTTTATTTATTAAATTTTACTTTATCTACTTATACATTTTTTTTATTTTATGAATTTTTTATATATATATATTTTTTTTTGTTAATTATTTTGTTTTTATTTTAATTTATTTTTAGAAAATTTTCATGTTTACCACAATAATGACGAGATTTCTAATGCTGATTGTTTAACGTAATTATAAATAATTTTTATTATATAAATATCATATCATATTTTCTTTCTTGATTCACTTAAATATAATACCCAATAGACGATAGCGAAAACTAAAAAACTTAATGGAAATAAAACCAATGATATTTGATCTAATTTACCACGTTGTGATCCAGCATATAAAAGAGCATATTCAGCAACATTTTTAAATCTGTAAGATGAAATATTTTTATTTTAATTTTAAATATTTATTTTAATTTTAAATAATATAGTATGTATATACCTTTTACGACCACCAACACCACGATCTGAACTTGTCGCACTAACATCTTCTTGTGATTGTTGTGATGTTGATTGTTGATTCTCCTGTTGATTTACTTGTAATTGATTTGTTGTACCTGTTTCAGCATTTCTTATTATTATTTCTGGTGGTTTTGGTTTATTTTCTGGTTTTATTCTATTTAAATTAAACATACGAGCAGCATGATCAATACCATTTTTTCGTTGTGTAAATGTTGTCATCTTAAAAAAAAATAAAAATATGTAAATATGTAAATTTAATTAATAAAATTTTTTTAAAAAATAATTTAATATATGAATCTACTTTTTTAGGTACAAAGATTCAAATAGATATTACATAAAAATATTTATCAAGAAAAGAAGGAAAAACAGGGGAAAAAAAAATAAACAAAAATTAACAAAACACAAGAAGAACAAAACAAATCAATTTTACCGGTGTTTCTGAGCTCATTCCACTTGCTGATAGATTTATTGGAGCTGATACGAATGATGAAATGGCTTTTGATGTTCTCCAATGTTTATCATATCGTATACCAAATAGAACAATGAAATATTCCATTAAAGCAAGAAATACAAATAATGTACAGGATATTAGCCACACCTTAAGAATTAAAATAGAAAAAAAAAATTTATAAAAATAATAAAAAGAAGAAGAACAAAATCGAATTGAAACAAAAGCAAGAACAACTAAAAATGTTTATATATATATATATATATGTAATTTTAATTTTTAAAATTACATGGTCATGCATGTAAAGTTAATTTGCTTCTTGCTCCTTGTTTTTTACTTTTTTTTGTTTTTTTTTAATATCCCTTATTTAAAATCATAATATGCAGTTAAATGTTTTTTTTTTTGTAAAATGAAATTAAATTCTGTTCAATTATTCTAAATATATTTGCAATATTGTTATTGTATTCTAAAAGGGAAATAGGGAAATAAAAAACATTTATTTTTTTTTTTTTATTTTTTTAATTTTTTGGGGTAGGGTATCATAAATATTAGCATTAAAATATTAGTATAAAATTACTTAAGTAATTGATTTTTTAAAATTACTTATTCTGTAATGAACTTGAATAATATAGGAAGGACATTTTATTTGTAAATAATATTTTATAATATGTATGTACATTTTTATAATTAGAAATAAATAAATTCTATACTATTTAATAAGAATAATAAATAATGTTACGTTTAATAATAACAATATTTTTTACATATATTTTCAAATGATATAACTACTAATATTCTTATAAAAAAAGTTATTTTATTTTTAACATTTTATATAACTTGTTTCTAATTTATTGAGTGAATTGTTTTATTTATCATTAAATGGAAATTAATGAATAATTAATTTTAATTATAAAACGAGAATTTTGAAAAATTGTAATTTGAAAAACATTTCATAAGTATTGAATTATTTATTCATGTATTTAAATAATAACCCATATTCTGTTAGTCGAATCACTTGAACATTATACGATTCACGGGTTGTTATTCATAGATCTTGTAATTTTCTGAATAAAATCAATTCTAAAATTTGAAATTATATACTGTAAAACAAAATACTTTTCAATATATTTCATCATGTCAAGAGATGCGACTAACACAATATGAGTGAATATTTTAAAAATTTCTTTTGAATAATTTTTTTTGAATATTTAAAAAATTTCAATTGAACAATTTGAATTTTAAAAACTGATTTTCAATAAGTAAAATGTTCGTGGTAGGAGATTAAATTTAGGTGGTAGGACTTAGCTGAAAGAATTCTGCATTTATTGCTGATTAACAATTCATTACTCATTTTATAATCTTCCATTCAATGATAAGTTTAACAATTCACTTAACAAATTAGAGTTTTTGTATCCATGAAATTAAAAGTTAATTATTTTGAAAATTTGTAAATTTACATGATTATTGCATATTACACTCTTCCAGTTTTATTTTAGATTTCAAGATTTTATTAAGTAGAATTTTGTATTTTCGAACTGAATTTTTTTATATTTAAAGTAATAATTTTTTAACTATGTAACTATTGAAACAATTATGTAAGAACTAGATTCTGAACATTGTAAAGTAAAATATTATACATTGTATCTAGTGTAAAAATTGTAAAAATTTACTAGAATTTTTTTTTTTGCTTTTGTCGTGCAAGATATTTAATTGTTAATATCTTAATTAATCCCTAAGGATTTAATTACAATTTCTTGTAAAATAATTTTTTTTTTTTTTCGAGTTCAAAAACAAAGTTTTATTACATTATTGTAAATTACAATAGGATATTGTATGCACATAAGTTTGTAATTAATAATGTATATAAAATTGTAATTAAAGTAACAATTAAGTAAATTACACAACTATTATATTGCCCTATATACAGTACAAACTATATATTTAAAGTTTTTTATATTTTTATATAAGAAAAATTTATAATTTTCTTTGTATGAAATATAAATCAAATTTTTATAATTTCACTAAAGAATAATAATAAGTACCAACCCTTAAAATTTTATGTTTAAATATAAATATGTATGTACTTGTAGGCATATATATTTAAATTTTATAAAATAAAATCAACAAGGAGTTAAAAAAAAAAAAACTAGGAAATGTTATAAGTCAAGGATTTTATAACACAAACATACATATTAAATTAATAGTAGAAACATGAAATCAGCCGGCCAAACATTACAACTAGAATAGTGTAAATGCATTTTTTTTTTTTTTTGAAAACTAGAAAAAAAAAATAAATTGCACGCGATATGAATATTTATTTTTATAAAAATAACATACTTTTTTTTTATAATGTCAACATTATTAAAAATAAATTTTAACTATAAGATAAGGCAAAGGGGAAAAGCTTCCTATTTTTATTTTTTTTCTTAACAAAAGTTCATTTTAGATACTTTATATTATGAAAAATTAAATTTGGGTTTAAAGTTATTCGAAAAGAGATACCGAGTACACAGTCAGATAAAAGGATCCGGTGTCATTCCTTTGGTAATTTGTTTTTTTAGTTTATAATAAAATTATAATTTATAATAGTTAATTTGCATTAGAATTAGAGATTTATTTATAAGCTGTTTCTGATTTGACATAATTATAAATTGATTCATACAAGCTGTACTAAATATTATTCTCTAACAAGTAAAAACGTTTTAGTCGATCTAAACCCTAACTGATTTATATCATGTACCTTGACAATCTAAGAATACATAAATATGTTTTTGAAATATTTAAAATTAGTTTTCGGACATGTATAAATTAAGGCAAAAGTTTACGTTGAGCAAAAATATATGTATACCGTAGCTCATACTGTAGACGACTCCCGCAAGTGATTACAAAACTATAGTAAATAACTAAACCCCTTACATATATTTAGAATAAATTCAGAATAAAATTCTAAATATTCTAAAGAACAATTATATTAGAATTTAATTTTCATTTAGAAATATAAAAAAATTACAATTAAAATTTTTTATTTTATAAGTGCAATATAATAAATTTATTGTGTAATTTAATTTAAAAAAAAAATAATAAAAATTATTAAATTTTTAAATTAAATTAAATTTTAAAAATTAAAAAAAAAAAAAATAAAATTACCTCAAGGCATTTCAATTCAAGTGCATCAGGTGAATTATTTCTAACCGTATCGAACATTGTTATTAATGATAATAATGTTGTTACTAGTAATACCATTCGACCAGGTACAACTTCTGGTACAACAACAAAACTACCCCATGACATCGATACAAATAATGTTGATGGTAAATAATTTTCTAGTAAATAACTTTTAACTTCGCGTGATAATGTTATTTCTAAACGAGCAGATGCATGATCTCCTATATTTACAATTGGTTTTTTTGTTTTTGTTTAATTTTATTATATTAAAATAATAAATTATTTTTAAAACAAATAAAACGTAAAAAAAAAAATGGAAAAATAAAATAGAAATTAATTAATATTTTTTAATTTTACATGACAAGAATTGTATAAATTTTATATATATTTTTTTTTTAAATATATTTTTAAACTACAATTATTTAATTATTATAAAAAAATATAAAGTTTATTGACCTGTATCTATATTTGCATAATTTTGCAGTTTAATTTGCATCAAACACGTTGACCAAAATTCAAAAATAAAAAATATGTTTTTTTTTTTTTTTTTTACAAAATTTACATGCAATGTGCAAATTGAAGAACACATTCGATAACAACACAGAAATACACATTTTATGCAAGTCGTGAAAATATTGAAAGAAAAGAATAAAAAAAAAAAAAAACACACAAAAAAAAAAAAGAAAATTAATTTAAATAAAAAATTAATTGCTTTATGGAAAATTATTTAATAACATTTATTTTAAAAAAATTTACACAAATACTATTTAAAAAATAATTTTGATTTATCTAAGTAAAATCACAGAGAACAGTGCTGAACTTAAAACGTTTCTGGTTTTTTTTTTTTTAATTTAAATTTTTAGAAAGTAGTTGGCTTCTATTATGAAAAAAATTTATCTTACGATATACAATATTTACGATATTTATATTGTAACGGTAATTATAATTCCGGTATTGTATCAGAAGATTTATCGTATGTCAAAAAAGTTTTGTAAGTATCTCACAATAATTAACAGAATTGAGAATTATATGTTAAGAAAAATTTAATTTTATATTTTTAGGAACAGAATTATCATCAATAAATCCCAACTCAATGTAATAATTGAAATAATAGAGATGAATTTAGACGCTGCAAGAAATGTTTGTTTAAAAACTTGTTCCTATAAATTTTGGATGAAAATTTCCAATGAATTAAATAGTATAGGATCTCTTACAAGTAGAGGGAGAGTGGAGTCGGAGTATTGAATCTAAAAAATAAACAACTTTTTAACTATTTGTTATGTACATCCTCAATAAATTGGAGGAATCTCTAATCTTTCTTAGTGCGAAGGCTCCACTTTATTATATGATTAATTTACTTTATTAAACAAAAATTGTGTATTTTTCGACGTTACAAGAATTACAACCTAAAATATTGAATAATACCCAAAAACCATGTAAAAAATGCAAAGAAATAATTTCAATTACTAAACTAATAAGTTTATTTGTTTTTAATTTTTAATTAATAAATTTTCTTGAAATTTTCGTTCTCTTCATTTCTTCACTAATTCAATAAATTTTAAATTTTAATTCTTTTACATATTATCACAATGTAAATAAGTTTTTGCTATTAAGCCTATTCTATTTTTAAAAATTATTTTTAAAATGACCGCAAATCTAGATTCTCTTCGTTCACTAAAGGGTAGTATACATTGTGTGCAAAAGTTAACTTTGTAACCGCAATTGTTTGATAATATTTTGGATTATCACCGCACATTCATTATGGTAAAGTTGAATCGATTTATAGATTTTCTTTTCATTAAAGAAAAACCAAAAACGTATCAAAAGAAAAACTAAAAATTAACAAAAAAATAGCAAAACTTAAAAAAAAAATTTTGTATTCAAATAAATGCAGTTCCAATTTTAAAGGAAGAAAACAAAACAAAAACAACTCAATAGGGTCTTAAAAAATATTAAAAAAAAATAAAAACTTCTTTTATTACCATCTCCATAATTTACAATGTGCGGTTGATGCTCTGTAGTAAACGATACCACATATTTTGGAAGCCGAAAGAAACCATCACCGAAATCATTTGGAAATGTTATTGCCTGACCAGGTTTCCATCGAAATGTCATTTCATGATTTGAATATTTATCTAATAAATTTAAAATAAATTATCTTTAAATATTATAATAATCTCTTTTTATTTTTAATAATTAAGGTAAGTGCATAATTAATAATATTAAAAAAATTTTTTGACACAAAAACTTACAACTACTGAAATCTACTGGACATTTCTGTACATCTAACGGGTACAGAACAAAGTCCATATCACATTTTATAATTATTGTAGCACTGATAATTTTTTATTTAATTGATAGAACAAAACAAAAAAAAAGAAAAACACAATAATATAAATATTAATTTGTTAATTTAAATTTTTGGGAATTTTTATTTATAATTAATATAATTATTAATTTTTAAGGTTATGTTTATATTTTAATTTATACGTGTAAATTATTATAACATACCCTATACTAAGAGCGATTGTACTATTATGATAAAGTCGTAAACTAGATATTTCTTCAAATAATTTCAATAAGCGCATTTCTCTTAATTGTCTAATATACAAATCAGGTACCTAAAAATAAAATAAACAAAATTTAATAATTAAATAATTACATTTTTTTTTAATTAATTTTAATCAGTATTGTGATAGTAAAAATATGTTTTACAAAACAAAATTTCCTTGAAATTTTATCGTTGTTCAAATTGCAATTTGCCCAATTTTGCATATTTTTTATAATGAATTTGATTTATTCTAATGTCATTCGCAATAACAATCCCGAATATAAAGGTGTATAAACTTGAGATTTTTTTCCAAATTGGATAAATTTTTCTTACTATAAAAGTCTTCTATTAGCAAAAGGCATACATTTGCCATATTTGCCATACATCCATACATATTAAAATAGTAATAGTTTTGTTGTTAATAGAATTCCAAAATTGCATGACTTATTCTTCAAGACCTGTCAATATTTTGCTCTGCTTAATTGTCAGTAGATACTAATAATCTACAAGTACTAATTTAATGGGTCTAGAGCTCTCCCAATCTGAAAAAATTTTTAGCAGAATACATATTTTCATTATCAGTTTTTTATTTTAACGCGTGCATTTTTTTGTAACGATGAAGGACTCTAAGACAATAATATTATAACCTGCGTAAATGATCGCGTTTATTTGCTTTTTTTTATCGTAAATTCGTTACGATACAATTATTTTTACAATATACTTAATATTTTTTTAAATGAATTATCTTTTTAAAAAAAACGTAGTAATTATTTTTGCAATTAATTTTCCTTTTTTTTTTATAATTTTTAATTGACATACAAGTTACTTTCATTATAAATTTTAACTTGCTCTAATTTTTTACCAATTTATTTTCCTATATATACCGCAATAGTTTATAATACTGAAATTAATTTTAGGCTAGACATTGTCAGTTGCACATAAAATAATAAATAATATTTTCTAATCTGAATGAAAAAAGAAAAGCAAAAAGAACAAAAAAAAAATTTTTTTGACATTTTTATGATTGATTTGCAAAACAAAAAAAAAAAATTGTGCCTACAATCTAAAAATAATAATTATTATTAATGTGAAACGCATATTATTTTCTAAATAAGTTCTTTACGATAAAATGAAATGTCATTATTATTAAAAATTGAATGAGATTTTCTCGTATTATCGTACGTTTGTATGTGTGTAGTAATTTTACTCCTTTATTTTTATAATTCATTGTTTTTAATGTTTTATTTTTATAATTTATTAAGTAAGATGTCTAAAAAAGTAAAATTAGTTGGAAAGGAAATTAAAATTGAAAAAAATTTTTATAGTTTTGGTTTTTTAATATATTTTTAGAAAACGATAAACAAAAATAATTTTTTCTACGAAATTATTCCGAAATTAGTACCGTGTCCATAATTAAAAATCGCAATATAATTATTATGAATAAAATAAAATTATTATAATAGTAAATTATTATTAAGTACTTGCATAAACTTTAATTGATTTCTACATTAATAATATTTTAGAGTATGTTTATATGTATATAGTCCTAGTATATAAAACAGGAAAATAAAAATTTAGTTAATCGTTACGCAATTATGATTAAAGGAAAAGTTGACATTTATTATTATTACGCCTCCTCTATAATAATAATCATTCAATTTTTGATGTTTTATTTATTTGTTCCTATTAAAATGAATTCACTTTGGACAAAACACGTAAATTGTATATTAAAATTATTATGACTTTTATAACAGAAATGTTATATAAAATATTCAATATTAGTATACATACATATGTATGTATAAGATGTGTTAATAAATATTTTTATTAATGATTATTTATTATAAAATATTTGAAGAGTAAAATTAAAAATTTTCATTTGTTAAAAAGTTAAAATTGAGAAAACGGCGGAGGTAGTAGCATTTGTTGCATAATTTTTAGATGACATGTTGTGATACATAGGTTGAGTTGACGGCGGCAGTACTAAATTAGATATTCAAATGTAAAGAGTTGTTGGTGTTTTTGTACCGGTTTCTCAAATGACAATTTTTTGACAAAAAAAAATAAACAAGTATTGAAGGCTTTTGATTTTTCAGAAAAAATTAAAATATTTATTTTGATTTAGTATGTACATGTTTTCATTTTATTATTTATTAATTTTTTAATTTTTGAATACATACTTTTCTCTTTTAGAATCGTAACCATGGAAGAAATAAGAAATGGAAACAAAATTCAAAATACATACATAAGTTTTTTTGTGTTTTTAGGTATCAGATTACATTGTGAACAGCGGTTGAACTAATCTTCACACATCATACTTAATCAAATACAAAGAAAAATAAAAGATAATAGTAAGAAACTGCAAGTTCTATATTCAATTAATTTAGATAATTTATACAAACAATCAAAAAAATTTGATATAATTATTCTGAGAATTTGAAGGCAATTTAACAAGCAATTTTGAAAAAAATCTCTAATATTTAATATCAAAATCGCGTACGAAATCGTGAAACAATTTTCTTAGTAGATATCACTCTGTTCTCTTATTGCGTTAAATTGTGATGCTGATTGTTAATACATACAATAAGAATATAAATAGGTTGCAAGTAATACAGAACAAGATAATTAAAAATTTCTATGGATTAAAGAGAAGAACGTCAACTAATTTCATTTAAATTCAGAATTCAAAAAATTTTATATAAAAATATTCCAAATGTATCAAATGAAAAAGGAAGAAATATTTAAAGCAACACTGGTGTTAAGAATGAACTGCCATGTAAATTAATATAATACAAGGTCAGCAAATAATTTAAGTTTCACCAGGGCAAATAATCATGGTGGTCGATAATATATCAATACATTAGAATACAATAGATTATACCTAAAAAGCATCAAATATCTAACTGAAATGAAATTTAGAAATTGAAATAAAAAAAGAAACTACCGAAATAATACATTGAATAATGAGCCACCAATGGACACATTGAATAAATTCAATGAAAGTAAACAAAACATTGAATAATGAGCAATTATTAAACTACAATCTTGAGTAATCTGTATGAGCTCTCTTGAGATATGGAATTTAATAAATAAATAAATAAATAAAATAACTAATAATTGGTTCGTTCAATAGGAAATTAATTGCGATCATTATGATGTACGAATTTTTTTTTGTTCTATTCATTTCATAAATCTGTTTGATATTCATTTTATAAATTTTTTTGCTTTAAATTCTAGAGGTATATCATTTTGCTTAATATATATATATATATATGTAGAGAATATTGCAACTTACCCATAACTTATGTCTTTCATCATTTTGTAATTCTGTAAATGGTTTTGTTAAATTAATATCATTACGAAATTTAACACGTTTATCTTCCCATAATACTTGCAGAAATACATCAAATGAAATTTCCTGAAAATTATCAGATAACTTTTGATTAATTCAATTTAATAAATTCTTAATTAATAGATTCTTTTAATTATATAATTCTGTAATAATGGTATAAATGTAACTTACTTCCTTATTTTCATCAACAGCCGATATTCGATTAATGAATAAACCAATTGATACGTTTGTTAATGTGTCTGGAGCTAAAATGAAATTAAGATTATTATTAAAATTAAAATGTTAATTGTTAAATTTTAAAGTATGATCTTTATTTATGTATTTCGAAGTCTAAAATGCTAAAATTAATTTTTTTCTATTGCAAAAATTATTATGTAAATTGAAAAGAAAAAAGGACAACCGTAACTTTTCAAGGACTTTATTTTTTATTTGTTACTTAAATTAATGATATGCAGGGTTAACGTATATGATGGTTTATATTTAGAACAAGGTTAATCGAGATAATTATTTCATATTGTTGTTATTGTTGTTTTTAGTGTTTTTTTTTAGCGCTTTATTCATTATTTCGCATTATGTAGGCATACAAAAAATTTTTGCAAGAATTTTAATTTTCTTTTTCATTTTGTTTTTTTTGTTTTTTTTTTTGAATAAAAGTGAGAAAGAGATTTATGAGTAGAGGATTTACTTTATTTGTTATGTAATATCATAAGGTATTATGATATAAGTTAACGAAGTCTGGTCAAAATATTATAAAATCGTGTAACTTGGTTAATATTAGTAGATTATTTGATTTATCCGAAATTTGAAAGTAAGGCACATGTTTTCTTATAAGAAAAATTTTTTTCGATCTCATCCCTCTATAAGAATTATAGTCATTTAAAATTCTAACATTCAGTCACTTTTGTTATAAAAACAGGCCCAAATCGATCGAGGAAGCTTGTATACTTCTGTTCTTCTTACCCTGTTACAACAATTTGCTTATTTTTATTTTGATGATTAACATTTGAATTGCTTGTTTTGTCATTTTTCAGTCATTTTTGTTGCAAATTTATTGGCAAAACTACTTGATTTAGTTCTGTCGCTCTATATTAACCTAATTTAATATGTGTAATTTTGATCGAATGGTATGGCAATTGATTAGGGCCTAAGGAACTGCTGAAAATTTTACAGATTTTTTTTTTTTTGAATATTCCAAAGTTGATATATCTACATACATGTGCATTTTAATGCCGGAAAGAATATTTCAAGAACAGCAAAGACTTTTTTTTGCCTTTGCTTCGTTTTTATGTTGTTCGAAAAATTTTTTACTCATCACCATTCTTATACAAAATATGATGACGTTACATTGATTTTTACTATTTTTTTTTTTCCATTTTATTTATTATTTTTCTATTTTTTTTTTTCTTTTCAGTTAAAAATAGTTTTAATTTTTAGGAAATTCTACTAGACATACCTTTTTGTCAAGTAGATTAACTGTACAACTTGATTGATATTTAATATAAATGTTATACACTAACAAATTGTTATACAAAAAATTTTTATATTTGTTTTGTTATTGTGTTTAATGTACTTTAATAAAATGTTGGTGACTTTAATTTTTGCGATTGCCTTTAAAATGAAAAAAATATCTATGTATGTGCGTATGTTTTGTTATACGGAAAATTAAATAGTAGATGTACATATATATGTGTGTATATGAATAAAGAAATGTTGACCTTCAAACTGTAAATTAGTTAACGATTATAACTAACCAAAACTAAACGAAAAGCAAAAAAAAAAAAAAAGAAGAGGTATAAAAGAATTAAAGCAAAAAAATTTTTTTTAGTAAATGATGATTTTTAGTTTTTTGTACAAATTGGTATTGGTATAATGTTAATAGTAAAGTTAAGGTTCTTTCTTTGTCGTAATTCATTTATTATTTTCTATATAAAATTCTGAGTATTTTTTTGTTTTTCGCTCATTTGGGCGTATATTTATTATACACGTTACTTTCGTTTGCTTATTATTTTAAAGTCATTTTGCTAAAAATAATCATTTAACACATCTTACACACACACATTTTGATTAAAGACATTAAAAAGTTGATTTGAAGATTTTTATCATATTGATAAGAATAAAAAGTACACCTTAAAAATTTTCTTTATTTGAAATTTGTATGAGCATGATTACATAATACACTGATAAAAGATTTACTTTATTGATAGCAAAAAAAAAAATATTGATAAAAATTTGGAGGATAAAGAAGAAAATGTGAATTAAATTAGTCAACAAGGTCGAAAATTTTTAATGTTAATACAAAAATATACACAATCATTAAAAATTTTGGATTTGATAAGATTTTTCATAATTGGGAATTTTATTTTTTCATTATTGTTGCCCAAGGTGATATGTGATGTCTGCAACTGCCCACAATGAATCTTTTGTATTTCAATTAAAAATTAGTGGATGAGATATATGTATGTGATCATATACTATATATAAGATCCCAAAATAATTTGTTTGAAAATGTAACAATGTTGGTCAATCTGGTTGAAAATTAAACTTTAAATTAATATTTTTAAGAAATACATTGCAACTTGTTGACTTTAAATTTTTTACAAAAGCGGAGACTTCAAACACCAAACCAAATTTATCCTGCCATACTAAATTGTTGCCGTCAAAGTTATTTATATAAAGATTAAAATGAAAATTCAAATTTACGGTGCACTATTAACAACATGGTGTCTATAAAAGCTGTTTTGAAATAGATCACAATTTCTAATATTAATTATAGTATTGCGTATAATGGAACATCATACTATTTTACGGTTTATTTTCCGAAAAATTTTCTAAAATCCTGAAACCATTCGAATATTCTCGAAGATTTTCGAAAATTTTGAAATCCTATAAGATTCCACTTAATATAGTTTTAATTTACTATTCTATTTACTTTAATTTAGCAATTGTAAACTGATTTTCTTTAATATTGTTAATAATTTTAGCTTCAAATTGTTAGTAGTTTTTAATGAATTTAAAAAAAATACACAAATTTTAATTTTTAAAGTTCGCTTTTTGGACTGGACTTTGTTATTGTTTTTTATATTTTATATTTTTTTATATAAGTCATTTATTTTTTCTAAAATTTACCACGTAAAATTATTTTACATACATACATATAAAAATATTGTTGTACCTTAAAATAATCATGCAAACACAACAATAGTGTCATTCACAATCATTGTTTTCAATCAGAACACGCACAAAATTTTTGTTTTAAAAATCTGTTCGTGCCACATAACGTTGTAGTAATGAAATTTTCTAGTGCTTAAAAATTTCTTTCTAATATTTTAAGGGAAAATAAAAAAAACTTAACGGTATATGTAGGTTTGTGTCTACGAAACCGAAATATTTATATAATAAAATGAAAAAATAGAGAAAAAATAAAAATGGTGATGGTATCGGTATGGTACCTTTCTGGCTAATTGTGTAATAAAAATTTTCGTTTTTCGCATATATGAAAAGTTTTTTTGTTTTCCCCCGAACTTTACGTTTATTTTTTAATTTTTTATTGTCACTTGCATATGAAATTTCTAATCGAAAAAGGAGTAAATATTCATCATTTCGTTTCGCCTCCAAATTTGTTTTTGTATACGAAAGTTATACTTTAGGTTTACGGTAATTGTAAGTATATTTTGTTTATGGTGTGTTATGTGGGAAATTATTGAATCTAAAAATAGGAAATATGTATGTAGTTTTTATTGTGAACTTACATAATATTATTGAACTATGTAGGTTAAAGTTAAAAAATTTCATGGATCTATAGTGCCATAAAAAATTCGAAAATTATTATGAAAATTAAAAATGATTGAATATATAAGTATGTGCATACATACTTCTTTTATGCTTATAATATGCCTTTGTAATAATAGTGTACTATGAAGTTATTATTCGTGACGCAACGTTCTAACGAAATAGGTTGGAGTAAAATTACATTATTTTTATAAATTTTATTGTAAAATTCTAAGGCTTGCCGATATAACATTAATGTTAAGGTGGTATATTTGAACTCATATTATTATTCATATTTAAGGCAAATTTTAAACCCTTGGAGGGACGATTCAGAAATAAATACATTACCATTCTAGAAGAAGATACCTTAGTCATCAAATAGGGTTGTTAAATTTTAAGGCAGTTTACGAATAAATTTGAAAAATTTATTCGTAGATAAAGGCAGCAAAAATGGTAATCTTGTATTTCTGGTTGCTTGTAACACTACATATATTTTTTTAGTTTTATTTTTACTTTTTGTTTCTTGATTCGATGGAAAAATTTATTATGAAATTTGATGTTGTTTTCAATTAAATGGAAAAATTAATTAATTAAATTTTAAGGTTAAATATTTTAACATTAAAATTGTATACTTTATTTTCATGCTATTTAATGAGAAAATCATTAAATTGAATTTAATGATGTCCTTTTTGTTTTTATTATTATTCAATAATAAAAAATTACAGTTATTTAAATGTAGAATGTGGATGAAAGAGATAAGCATAGATATAACGTATTTAATATAGTTTTCACTTTAAATATAGTGAGTATAGTGCTTTTAAATATCTAAATGAGACGAGATAAAATTTAGTTATCAAATAATTAGAAATAAAAAAAGATTTATAACTGAACTTTTCACTAGTTAACGGTATCATTCTCCATAATTTCCCTAGTCCCGAAGCACTTGTCCAGCCCTGCATAATGAGCCTGGTTGCGTACTGTATTGTGCACGTAAAAATTAAATTCTTCTAACACAAAATAGTATAAGTGTTGAACTTGACTCTTACTTTGAACTCTTAAATAATATGTTCACTAGGTCTCTTTGAACCGCCACTCTTAAATAATATGTTCACTAGGTCCTAAGCCGTCCTATCATTTTACTTTTTAGATTGAAAATTTTTAATTTTTTTGAAAATTTCTTTTTTGAAAATTTTTAATTTTTGGAAATGAATTTTGGCGGAACAGAAGACTACGGTCTTCTCATAAAAACTAAATTCGAGGCCTAATGATTGGAAAAAGCGGCCGAAGAAGGAAATTGTACATTAACATTTTGTGTTTGTCTAGGTCTATTCCTTCTCAGGTTCGAGGAATACCATCTCTCACACACCCTGGATAATAGACTTTGCATATAAGCACGCCAAGCATGCATAATAACAATGTTTAAACAAAAATATCAAAAAACCGAACGAAAAGAAAAATATTCGATATGCTTTCAATC